GACGTGTATTTAAACGAGTCGGTGAGCACCACCAGGGCTTGGTTGAATAGTGGAGTAATTCATGACCGACCCAATGCGGGCATGATTACCAAGATTAATGGGGAGCGACATCCGACAATGGAAGTGCGAATGTTATTTTCTCTGAATCTGTGTTTATTTTTCATTCCACAAAGTATTGTTATGTATTAACCAGATAATTCGAAGAAAACCAGCTTATTCCGCCAAGTATTTTCCCGTAAAAAACTTTTGGACAGTTCAAATGCCATACGTTTGAACGAAGTGATTTTGTACTATTTTTTATCTTAACTACTGATATTTTAGCAGTAGACAAAATAAAAAGGTGCCAAATCTATGTACGTCCGAATAATTGAGTTTAAATTTCTGAATCAGGAAAGCGCGGAAAGCACAATCCGAAGCTGAATTCGAAGTCACCCGATTAAAGGCAGACTATGTGGAAATTGTACCAAAGAAGCAATACGAGGAGCTGTTGAAAATTCAGGAACAGCAAAAAGCAGAAATACAGGAATACATGACGAAATACACGGAGGCAATCGGTCAACTCAGGTGCGTTGGTTAACCATGAGATAAATTCCAATTATCAACCAGCAACAGTGCATTGATATACACTTACTTCATCATCTTTAATTATGAATCTTGCAGTATTTCAAAGTCTACAAATTGAGCTATGCAGAGGGAGATTCCACGCCTTGTCCAGTACCATCATTTGATCGGTAGTTTTAACTTCACGAGTTCAAACCGCTTTGAAATTTTCAAGTACTAGAGGTTTAAAATAAAAGCAGTGTTTCATTGGTTCTGATGGAAATCATTTAACAATTTTTCACAGACGTTTATTTTTCTTCAACCAGTTGCATATAACTTTTAGGTTTTTGAATGATTTCGTGAGAAAACTAATCGAGGGAATCAACGGTGGGTGAACACAAAAGGAAATGTTCAAATGTTATCAAAAGCAAATACCCCATTCGTTTGCAAGCCTATCATGCACATGCTTCTAGATAGGAGAAGGATCTCAATTAAGATTACCAATCGTACAGACTTCATCTTCATACACGAACCTCAGTTCACTCAGTAGACTATTAATGTAGGACGCCGTGGACTCGAATTTCGCTCTCATCAATCGAGCGTATCAACTACTACCCCATATTCAATTTGTACTCCAAAACGCACAACACAACCAACATGTGACTACTGTACTAAACTGAATGAAACGCATCCCGAAAAGCCACTCAGATACGAGGATGTGTGCATACTGCCGTGATTACTATAAAGTGATCATTAACTTGGACCTTTATGTGAAAACTAAATATTCTCAAGACCTCTGATATGAGATTTACAGTTTTTGTTACATTTTATGACTATGTAGCGGGGTGAGTCAAGCTGACCACTGTAGTAGACAATCCAAATTGGTGGACAGATACAGTAATAATCATCACCACCCTTAATAGACCACCATCCAGAGTTCTTGTTTACAGCTGCATGAATGTGATTGCTCAAGCACATTGCAACAGTATGCACGTTCCACAGCACTCAG